CTTATACCAAACCTGAAGTACAAAACCTGCATGTCATCTTAGACTCTGAGCTCTTGACCTGCCATCTATCGGAAAAACACAAAACAAAAATCTCATAGCCACTATTACACCAGAAAAAGTATCTGAAGCCATATCCAGACTTAAGGCTAAAAAGTCTCCAGGTGTTGATGGTTTCCCAGCAGAATGGTGTAGAACTGTTAAAAAAGAATAAACCCCCTACTTACTTCATCTTTTAATTGGACCGTTGCCACCTTCATGGAAAGATACAATAATATCATTAATTCCCAAAGATGGGAAAGATCCAGAGTATTGTAGCAATTTTCGCTCTACATCAGTGCTCAATGTAGATTACAAAATATATACCACCATTATTGCTAAAAGATATAGAACATTTATGCCAGATCTAATTGATGAAGATCAAACGGATTTCATATCATAGGTCGCCAAACACAAGATAACATCAGAAGAACTCTGCAAGTCATAAATCCGACACAAAAGAAAGGAATGAGTTAGGCTTTTGATAGTGTGAATTGGAATTTTTTATATTTAGCGATTTGGTTTTAGCAAAGATTCAATTAAGTGTATCAAAACTATATATCAAAATCCAACAGCTAGGATCAAAATTAATGGTAGGTTTACAGAAAGGATAATCCTCGAGGGATGCCCGCCAGGGGTGTGGTTTATCTCCTCTTCTATATGCCCTATATATGGAACCTTTAGCACAAGCAATATGTCAAAGTTCAGAACCAAGAGGAATTACTATAAAGGGACAAACACATATTATCAGTTTATTTACAGATGATTTTATAGTTTATTTGCATGTTTTTGAACCTAATGCAGGTTTCCTATGCTTGATGAAAATCTTGAACATATAAGGCAAACACTCTGGAAATAAAGTGAATGTTAACAAAACACAGATCTTAGCCTTTAATTATTCTCCCTCTCGAGAAATCAGGAAGTTATTCCAACTGAAATGGGATGCAAAAATCATTAAATACCTTGGTGTGACCTCAACAAAACAATTGACAATTAACTAAATCTCAACTTTTCAAAACAAATTTCAATCATATCCATTTACAGATTTAAAGAGACATTGAGAACTGGTCCACCCTGCCACCAGATTTTAGCTCCAAAATTAAAATAATTAAAATGAATGCTGTTCCTAGACTTTTATACTTATTTCAATCTTTTCCTATTAAAATACCTCGAGAAAGTTTTCAAATGTGGGATAAGATTGTTTCCAGATTCATATGTAATGGTAGGAAGCCAAGAATAAGGTACTCCACAATAGAGTTGGCCAAAGAAAATGGTGGGTTGACTCTACCAAATCTTAAAGACTATTTTCAGGCAGCACAACTTGGACCATTAATTAAATGGTGTGATGAAAGCTATAGTACAAGAAAGAAAAACGTTGAGAAGACAGTAGAACAATTCCCTATCCAGTTCTTCACTGGTAATATGAAATTTAAAAAGACATTACAAGATTCAGTTGATAAAATAAGCTCACATATACTAGATATTTGGTTTGATTTGATTAAACGATATAAGTTTGAAAGGCAAATAATACTTATAAGTTGGTTTGCTTATGATGAGAAATTTAAACAAGCTTGTCTGAGCAATGTTTCAGAGGTTGGTAAAGAATCTCATAATACATCATTTAAAAAAACAAAACAAAACTGCAATTTATTTGAGGGCTCAGTTGTGATGTCAATACAGGAAAGGCCAATATCACGATAATGATTACCAAACAATATCTTGTGCAATATCTCCTTATCTCTGGATTACTCTGCTAAGAAATACCAAATGTATTACGTCATTATGGGTTGTATGACTGCTGCTGTACCTTCTGTCTTAAGTCTATCATTCTGTCATTCCTGTGTTTGGTGCATATCAGCTGTATGTCTTTGGGATTCATACACATTTGCCTGTCTCATAGTAAATGTGCGTTTGTCCCCAGTGGGACACTGTTTGGCCAAGCAGAGACCTAGAGAAGTGAAGCAAACGCACAGCTGTGTGACAGGTTATTTACTCAATATTTATTCGATTTTATGAAGATCTGTGTTCACTCAGGTGAACTGAAGCAGTAGCCTTTGTATGTAATTTGAAATTACTTTGAGATTTTATTTTTATTTCCAGTAGAGCTGCCATGCTTTGACTATTCACTGCCTGCTAGCATTCAATTTCATGACACCTGCTGCAACCCCTAATGACTATGACAGGAGGTACCTGTTTGAGTTATGTGCCAAAAAAAAAAATGTAGAATTTTGTTTGTATATCAACAGTTTGTATATGTTAATTCACAAAGAAGGTGAATGTCAAAAGAATATAAGTGAAAAAACAGTTTTCAAAACTGCACTTCAGAAAATGATCAAAAGATACAGAAAAAAATGGGACTCCTAACAACCATGCAGGACTTGGTAGACTACCAAAACTGTCAGATAAACAGTTCTTAAATCTTTCATCTCTGAGAGAGAGAGAAAATCAAGCTCCACTCTTGATTCAGATGTGAACTCCACAGGTGTTTCTGTCCATCCTTCCACTGTGAGAAGACATCTCAACTCACTATGAGTCTGAAAGGATGTTTAGCTGCAAAGAGGCTGTTACTGAGGAAAGCAAATAGATAAAAAATTTGAAATGAAACAAAGAAGCTGAACAATGGACTGACCAAGAGCCAGAGTCCAGACCTCAACATCACTGAATGTGTCTGGGATTGTCTGGAATGTGAGCAATGGAAACTGTAATAAAGGTAAATGGAGGACACACTAAATACTAAAAAAAAAATTATATGTAGTCGTTGAGGCTTCTGTACAATTTTCTGGTACATACATATGTGTGTGTATGTGTGTGTGTGTGCGTGTGTGTGTGTGTGTATGTGTGTGTGTGTGTGTGTGTGTGTGCGTGTGTGTGTGTGTATGTGTGTGTGTGTGTGTGTGTGTGTGCGTGTGTGAGTGTGTATGTGTGTGTGTGTGTGTGTGTGTGTGTAATAATGTCTCTGTTCTGTTGTACCTCAGTAAATACCTTGAAGTCATTTAAACCATTCTGTCATAGAGGTAGCTATCTAGTCGAGTTTGTGTAGCCAGGTGAAGTAAACTTGTGGCTGTCATGACTGAGGAACCAACCCAAACATTTGTTCACACAGTATATGTCTTCCATGTAAATGGGTTTTGACGGCATCTGACAGCCTTGCATGCATGATGTTTAATCTACTGTTTTGCTAACTGCCTGTTGCTAAATGTACTCAAAGGCACACATTTGCACATAGCTAGCTAAGTGTTTGTAATTTAATATTGATAATCAGAGCTGAACTGGTCAGTGATATTAGGAAGAAAGGCTGGTTTACAGTCTGAAAGGCATGTTTCTAAAATCTGATCGGATGACGTTGAACCTGGCAGTAAAGTGCTGCGCAGATGTGAATCATTTCACAGGTTTTCTGCATAAACTCTATTGCACTGTAGTGAACTCATTTAATAAAAGGGGCTGATTATCAAGCAGATAAAAGGACAGAAAGGTTTGTTGATGTCAGATGTTAGATCACACAGTCAAGTTTCTGACATGGTCATTCCAGTCCCTAGCCCCACATTCCATTTATAACCTGGGTCACTCACTGAAGTGGAGAGTCCACGAGTTTTTTTGGCATAACTTACTGGAGTACCTGCATTTGAAGAAATAGCAGACTGCAGAACAGGCTTTACTGCCTCTTGCCACCCACACACATTTGATGTTTTCCAAACGTGGAACTTCTGAAAGGACATTAAAGGCCATAAAATTCAACCTGAAAACTAGCACCTGGTGCCCAGCCCCCGAGCTCCTTCTTCTGTTCCTGGACATTTTTGTTTCCTTTGAGATTTGATCTATCTATCTATCTATCTATCTATCTATCTATCTATCTATCTATCTGTGGTCAATCTATATAGTGGTCAATCTATATTTGTTCTGCCTATTTTTAAAACAAAGCAATATTTGTTATACAATGTTTAACTTTATACAATGGTTAACTTTGTATAAGACGTTCATGCTGGCATCCCAAATGCAGAACTTTTAGTCATGTACATTAGCCATCTACACTAATCACATTCGATGCAAAGACCAGTAGTTCAACTAACCGTTTCGAAGGTGAGTGCTGGCTGTCTCCAGCGATCTGCATAGAGTGAGTTCTTTTAACACGTGTATAGTGCAGTTCTACAATGTTAATGTTACTCAGCATCGGCTCCACGTTATCTGCAGAACACTAAGGGGGATCTTTGTATAAGGTTACATGTAAACAAGGTTTCTGTGTTTTTTTGTTTTCTTTTTTTTTTGCACATGTAATTAAGCGGTTACACTTGATGACTTCTGGTTGTTGCATTCAGTGGAACTGACCAATCTAAAGTGTTGACAGAACCTTGATATAATGATATAAATAATACACTACATGGTCATAAGGATTGACAAACACCTCTTAAACACTGAATTCCAGTGTTTCATTCAGTCCCATTGCCACAAGTGTATAAAATCAACAGAGGACATGTCAGAGTGGGATTTACTGTTCTACGAACAGCCTCAGCTGTGGACAGTAGAGCAGCATAAGCAATCCATTTTTGATTGAGACTGCTCATTTGCTATGGCAGTCGACTGGGAGGAAGCAAGCTGGTGGTATGAGACAGTTTGTCCAGGCTTGGCTTTCACTATAGCGCCCCTTGCTGTAACGCTCAGAATGCAGTTTGCATTTGCAATGCATTGTGAATTGTGTCTTGACACATTTTTAATGCGTCCTTGTGTAAAGTATGTTTCTGGCCTAAAATGATCAGATGAACAGGTAGAACTAACACTAACTGATGCATCATCGTTCAAAGTTGAATGATTTTTATGGTGCAGTCAAATCCCACCAGGGGGACCATACCGTAGGGTACATGGCAAATCCCACCAGTATGACTGTATTTCTGAAAGGGTTAAGTCTGACTTAATAGACACTATAAGCCCAGTACACAGTGCTATTACAGTGGTATAATACACAAGAATAATTTTAAAGACAATTATAATTTATTGCATGATCATTACTTACACATGGGATAGCATCAGCATGAGTATACATATAGAAAAAGAACAAAATGAACCTTTACTTTCACTATGACCCTGCAATTATCTTAATGTTTTATTTAATAAGATAGAATTAAAGCAAATAAAAGTTGCATAACGTAACATAAGGTTACATGGACATTCATGTCGGAATTTCAAGACCTTTCTTAGCTACAAAAACAAAGTTCACAAGTTCTCCAGTATACCTTAACATCTCTACACAATGCTTTGTTCCACTAGTATTTATATTCTTAGGTCCAGTTGCCATATTGGTGTATCAGCTTGACTAAAAATATGTGTTTCTTGTCGCACTTCTTCACCCTGTCATGCTGTGGATCCATAGAAAGGAAAGTCTGGATCTGAGCCTTATGGCTGAGCAAAAGTGTAAGCGCTATTTACTGCAGTAATCCACTATAAGATGTACAAAGCTGAGGGGGGCAAAGCGCATAGCAGCGTCCAAATGCGCTCTCAGGAAAGTCTTCTAGCCTTTGTTACTTGGAAAAGTTGTGACTGATTCAAAAGCTCCCATTAGAGATCAGTCCTTAGCTCTCCACAGATTAAATCCAGAGGCAAAGATGGGGAGTCTCAGTTAACCTGAAACACAGAATATTTTTCTTAGTTAGATAAGGCGAGGTGTTTGCGACATCATAATACATCTTTATTATTAAGGCATGTCTTCAGACTATTCATCCGTCTCATGTGACATCATGGTATAACTGTGCCACCGTTTGACTGACTGGGAGAGTCTAAATATGTTCTGTGTGCTTTACAGATTATCGTGAGAACAGCCAGTAAACAGAAATTAAATGTTTTACTCTGTTGCTGTGTAACTGGACTGACATGACAGCATTTAATTACTTCAGAGAGCAGAAATATCACTAAAGTTAATGTTTACTGTACAAAAGCTATCAAAACTAATCAAACTCATCAACACTATCCCTATGAGCAACCCTGTAGCCGGTCCACACAGTTCAATGGAAAACATACATAGCGTTAGATAACTAAGACATCCATGCCAGTTGTTTATTCACAGATAATGTAACATTGTCTGATGCAGTTTTTTTCTTTTTTAAATCTGTCCTGCTCGCCTATCCATCACTGCACCAGTAGCCGTACTTTTAATAATGTTCAGGCTTTCACAGAGGAGATGGAGTGTGTACTAAATATAACTATATATGAGTCTGCAAAGATTACATTTAGGATTTTAGCAGACACTCTTATCCATAGAGATTTAAAAGAGTAGGCAAGTGTAGAGTGAGGAGTCGTGCAAAATGACAGTGCTGTGAAAAAGTATTAGCCCCTCACCTGATTTCTTCTATTTTTCCTAATTTGTCACATTTAAATGTTTCAGATCATCCAACTAATTTTAATATAAGGTAAAGACAACACAAATAAACAGAAAATGCAGCTTTTAAAAGGTCATTCCATTTATTTAAGAAAAAGATTTATTCAAAACTTATATCATCTATGTGAAAAGTAATTGCCACCCCCAAACCTAATAACTGGTGCCACCCTTGGCAGTAACAACTGTAATCAAATGTTTGCGATAACTTGCGAAGAGTCTAGTACATCGTAGTGGAGAAATTTCAGCCCACTCTTTTTTGTAGTACTGTTTCAATTCAGTTACGCTGGAGGATTTTTGAGGATGAACTACATGTTTAAGGTCTTGACACAGCATCTCAATGGGATTCAGAGGTGGACCTGCTTGTGTGCTTCGGTTTGGTCCGCCTGCATAACCCAACTGCGCCTGAGCTTTCGGTATGAACTGACGGGTGGACATTCTCCTTCAGAATTTTCTGATAGAGAGCAAAATTGGTTAACTGGTGGTTTCTTTCAATAAATGAAATCATCATATAAAAACAGCATTTTGTGTTTACTTTGGTTATCTTTGTCTAACAGCAAAAGTAGTTTGATGATCTGAAACATTCAAGGGTGACAAACATACAAAATAGAAGAAATAGAAGAAATACTTCTTCACAGCACTGTAATTTTATTGGTATAACAGTAACATTAATGTTCATGTCTGAATAGTCAAAAAAAAAAATCTAGACTCCCATGTACTGTGTGCACTGCAGTATCAAAGACTTTGAATCAGCAATCAGTTATATACTGTATATAGTTATGTACATATCAAGACCAATTAGTTTTATTTTATTAATATATTGCTGTTTCAGTATGTGCATTTACTTTTTATTTAATTCTCTCTCTCTCTATCTGTATATATATATATATATATATATATATATATATATATGTATGTATATAGAAAGAGAGAGAGAGAGAGAGAACTAAGTTGCTGATTGCTGATCATGTTACTGTACACACACTGAAGTGAAAAGTGAAGCCATAAATGTATACTGCCTCCTTGAACTGTAATATGATTTGTTTGTCTATTGACACAGAAGTCAACATATTCCCCAAAAATGCAAATATAACAAAAATGCTAAGGTATATTACATTTTTCTGGCAATTTGTGTCATTCCATGGCATAAGAATCTATGTAAAATAGTAAATAGATGTACTAAATCTACATAGTATTCAGACACCCCTTCTACTTAGTGAATTCACCTACTTTAAGGTGTGTCCATTACTGACACAGGCATTCAATTATGCATAGACATCTTATATAATCTCCATAGAAAAGCATTAACAATAGAATGGGACACACTGGAGCAGACACACAAGAGCCTGATATCACCATGTCCAATGCCAAGTGCCAGCTAGAGGGGTATAAGGCACCCCCAGTGCTGGGCTGTGGAGCAATGGAACTATGTTCTCTGGATGGATGGAGCTCCATCCACTACCTTTGTGATGAGTTGAAGTGCCGCTTGTGATTCAGAACGAATCAGTTAACATCAGTACCTGAGCTAACTAATGCTCATGTCTGAATTCAATCAAATACTCACAGCAATGTTCCAACATCTAGTGTAAAACCTTCCTGGAGGAGTAGAGGCTGATTCTGCAGCAAAGAGGGACAAACTCCTTATTAATTCCACTGATTTCAGAACAAATGAAATGAACAAGCAACAAACTTTTGGATTTATAGTGTAGATTAGCTACGTGGATTAGATTTATTTCTCAACATTTAGTCTAACTACGGCAGGGAGGGAACCGCTTGCCTTTGGTGGAACAGCTTTGACTTTGGTGGCAGAAAATCTAAGCATGAACTGCTTCCCTGTCGCTTCCAACAGGGTTAACTGTAAAAGATGCACCAGCAATTGAGGGAAAAACAACTGGTATGAAGCCTAATGTGACATCAAAACACATTTTTTAGAATTATCAAAGGCAAACTTTGACATTTCCTGAACGTTTGCACCCACATAATTACCTGATTCACACAGTCTGCACAAAAATGACATTACTTTCTATTCCTGCTGTCTCTCCTCCTTAACAAGGCCAAATATTATGACTGAAGTACATAAGCAGTCATCTGAGCAGAACACTGAACCTTTACTATCCTCCCTGCCAGGCTGCACTCTGCGATACACCGCGGTGCACTCATCAAGAGGGGAAATATTAAATTGGTGACGGATTTTCTGGGCCTTGAACTGTGACTGGGAATGAGTTTTCTGGTTAGTGCCTTCTTGCAGCTTCCTGCGTGCCAGAGCCACTGCCTGAGACGGTTTTGCATCGATAACGGATTCGAGAGGTTTAGTTTTGCTGAAGTTTTCTCCTCCTCTGGGCTGATGCAGATACTCCAAGCCTGGACACTGCATGAGATTAAATGACCTGTCGAGATTCATGGATGGCACCATCCTCTGCCAGAACTGCTCACTGAGAGATGTTCTGTCTGCGCAGGTCTGCACATCATTCTCTAATGGGGTTGCTTCTGCCTTCTATTCTTGTTGTAAATATTTATTAATTCATGCTCTTTCCACCCTAACCACAGAGCAGCGGCTATCTTTCCACTAACAATTGGTTCGCTTTATTTTTGAGCTGTGCATGAACAAGCTGTGTAAATATCCGAATAAGTCCATTTCATTCAGATGTTATCACAGGCAATAATAAAAGCATGTTGTAATCTGGAGTTAATTATTTATAGCTATTCATAGCAAAATGTTCAATGAATGCTGTATTTGTATTTAGAAGTAGGAGTGAAGATGTTTGTGATATGACTGTGAAAATCTAGTTTTGTGGGCAAACAATATTGGTCAATTGGTATTTTGTTAATTTTCTAAGTGAAAATAAATTAGCACATCCACTACAGAGACTGCTAAATTTTGTGCACTTTAATATATTTGAAAAAAATCCAATGTAAAATGTGCCATAACTTTTACAAAGGCATAAAACATTTTATATGTACTTTTTTCCAACATATTAAATTCAGCAGATGAACAGTAGTTGCACATTAAAAGTCGCAGAGGTGTGTTCTCTGTAGAGAGATGTGTACTTATTTTCAAAACATAGAATTAGACCAGGGTGCCTAAACTTTTGCACATGACCTTTTAGAAAAAAAAATGCAAACGTAATTGATTTTGTAATAGCATTTGATTAGCATAGCAGTAATAAGGGCTATGTTTTTGTTCCCGGGCAAGCATCATAAATCCTTTCAATCATCCTCTTCTGCACACTTAACCCAACTTCACCCCATGAAGAAAATAGCAATGTAAAAATAACAATGGAAATTCTCTCCTTCACCATACTTTCACTTTTTTAAACCCAGTTTTCTCTTCAATTTAGTCATGTCCAATTCCCACCCACCAGCCACGTTTACCTGTATTACATATTCCTACCCAGCTGGGAGAGTGAAGGCTGGCATGAGCTTCCTCTGAGACACATGAAGTGCCACCACATTTTTTCAAACTGTTGCTGACATAACGTCATTGGACAGCTCAACGCTGGAGGAGAAAGCTAACTGACAATTCTGTTACGTCAGCTAGGCACTGAGTGATGGGGGTAGAAGGGGAGGCCAATCAGGCTGTCATAGACTCCCAGTCATGGATGACTGTGGCATCAGCACAGATCAAACTCCTGTTTGCCCAGTGACTGGGTTAACACTTAGAGGACTACACCAGGTCTTCCTAAATAAAAAGGTTCCTGAGTGGTGCAACTGGTTTAGTGGGTTGTGTCCTATTGCTGGGTCCCAAGTTTGATTCCTGACCATGCCACAGCTGTCCATTTACCCTTCACCAACACAGGCAGATGAGGTCTTTGCAGTAGGCAAAGGTAGGCAGGCACCTAGGCCCAATGAGACAAAGGCTTAATGAAAATACAAATTAGATATACTGTTCATGTTGATATATATGTTTTTGTGTGTGTATTTTAAAAATAGCTGTTATTTGTGATTGTAGCCATCATTTCCAATAATCAGTCATTTCAATGAACCCACCCCACCCTCCATCCCAACACTGATGGTTGTAATGGAGTATTCCATATTGTTATGCAATGACACAACTGCGTAAGGACAGACTGGTATAAAAAAGGCACTTAAGCAATAATTTACATTACGGAAAGGAGGTTCTTCATTGTGTTTTTGGGTGTTGAGAGGAAAAATCAAATAAAGTGCAGCAGAAAAATGCAAAAACAGGAAGAATGCTTCTTTTTTGTTTGTTTTTGTTGTTTCACTATATTATCTGCCAATGTAATGAAATAATTTGATTATTCACTTAATATAATTACTTAAAACAAGTAAAGAATGTCTGGATGTAGCTGAATAACCTTTAACTACATCTAAACATATAAGAACATAATACTCACACTACAATCTCAAGATGAGAATATTAGAAAATCAAATAGATTTAAGATTATTTTACTTGCCAAGATATGGTTTTTTGCAATGTATATGACTGCACTAGTTGAGAGCCCACAGCCTCAACTAATTTAAAAATATGCATCCAGCCCATTCCTGTCCTTTGCCCATAATCCCAGCATTACTCAATCTGCCCCTGCACACAGGGTGAGAACAATAATTTTATGTCTTCCATCTGAGTTTTTAAATCATTGAAAAATGGGCAATGATAACACAAAGGATTCAAAGAATGGGACAGTAAGATAAAGTTCAAATTGAACATAAGCAGAATAGCCGCTGTGTGAAGGAGGCTAAAGGTCTAAGAGTCCAAAAGAACAAAACTGGCTGTGTTCTCTGAGTGATATGAAATGGCTCGCCAATCCAGGGTGTCTGTTAGATCACACATACAGAAATGGTCAGTCAGCACTGTTTTTCAAGCACAATCAACTGCTGTAGAGCACTGAAGCTGTGTCGTCATCCTGTAGTAGAAACTCTGAGATTTCTCCTTGGCAAAAATGAATGAAATTTTCAAATATCACTGCCAGCACAGCCTGTGGTAAACACACTCGATTCGTTTGATTCTATGTACATTTTTCTACTAAAAATTTCAATGGCTCCTCTTAGTTACAAAGTCATTAATTTAATAAAACTTTGGCAGTAGTAGAGTATATTAGGAGTAGTTGGTTTTGTTAGATAATAGTAATAAGCTTTAATAATACACTGCAATGTTATTTCAGTGCACATAAGAGGTAGCTTGCTATTAGCATGGATGTAGAAATGTTTATATTACGGCTCCCTAATTATCTGGAAGTTCAGTGAAATTCAGTGGAAATGTGTATGTAGGACAAAAACATATCATGTTTGGAACCTTTTGAATCCCATTGAAAACTATGAATCCCGTTCATTTTGCCATAGAAAAAGCTGCTAGAGCTGCTTTTATAGGCATGATGCAAACTACAGAATGAAAACTTGAATTCAGAGGGCTGTTGATGCTGTTCAGCAGGGAAGATTTACACCGTGGCTGCACAATGGTGATGGATGTTGTTAAGAAGAAACAAAAATCCCCCCAAAACATTTAAATATGTATGTTTGTGGCATGCGCCCGCCCCCCGGGCCCCGACGATGACGGCCGCGAGAGCCTTGGCGAGGACAGCAGGGAGAGAGCCGCGAGTGTGGAGGGGGCGGAGCGCCAAGCCCGAACTCCGCCGACGGACGCGGGTCACGCGAGTGATCGTGAGGAGGGGGACGAGGACGATGAGAGGCACCAAGGCGAGGAGCGAGTCCCGAGCTCCGCCGCCCGGCCCCGCCCCCTGTGCCGCAGCGAGGGCGCTTCAGGATACCTTACGTTCGACCCGGGAGGCCGCGCTGCAAGCTGGGGGCGGTGACGGGCAGGCGGAGGTGCGAGCTCTCGTTCCCTGTCAGCACGGGTGCCTGTAATGAGAGCCAGCTGATGCTGATCTGGCTGGCAGCGTGAGCGCCTTTTAAAGAGCTGAGTGAGAGTGAGAGAGAGAGAGAGAGGGAGGGAGGGAGAGAGGGAGAGAGAGAGAGAGAGAGAGAGAGAGAGAGAGAGAGAGAGAGAAGGCCGAGTAGTAGTAGTAGCAGCAGCAGCAGTAGTGGTAGTAGTGGTAGTGACTGAAGAGCTGAAAAGCTTGAAGAACACTGAAAAGTCTAGCCAGCTTAATTTGGGCTGTTTGGCGGTTGTTTACTTGCTTTGTGTGTTTTTGTTAATAAATATGGCTGCTGCAGCACTGAACCCTGCGTCCTCCTTGAGCCCGGGGTAGCACATGCGGTGCTACAATGTTATAATTGAAATGGCAAAGAAACAAACAAATATAAAGTAAAATAATCCATAGTCTCCTTGGTGTCTTCTCCAGAACTAAAACAGAATATTTAAATTAATATTTAAATTTTCAGCATGTTAAATCTTTTTCAGTTTTGTGCACAGTATGAGCAACCTTGTGGCAAGGCAATGCACACTAAGAAAGTCATATTCCTCACACATAGCATATAATATTTAGGTTAACGTCACTGCTCTGCATAATTCCGGGTGGAAAACGCATTGTTACGCAGACTGCAATACATTCTGCCCCCTTGTGAAGTGCTTTTCCATTCCTCGCTGTCGCCAAGATTAATGAGTTGCTAATTCTAGAATTATTTGACGATACAAGTGAAATGAGAAATGGTTGTATGAGAGAAAAGAGAAAGCTAAATTTTTCCATACCTTTTTGCTAGACGAAGCAAAAACTGAATTATACAAAATAAAGATGCATCTACTGTCATGAGTTAGAAAAAAAAAACGCTAAGCACTTGTCTGGAAGACATGTTTATAGTGTAGTACCCTTATGGGTAATAATGTAGACATTCATAAAAGCTCAGACTCAGATGCATGACATCCCTGGACAGATGAGAGAAAACTGAATAAAAGCAGAGCAGCATGCTAAATATAAGTATCTGAAGAGATAGTGATAATGATAGGCTCCTAGGGGGATTGCATACATGTACAGTGTTAATTCTTTGGTTCTGAAGGAGCAGTAGCCTGTGGGCAGGTGTGTGCAGCCAGGCTGTGGAAAAGCAGTATAACTGGAAAATGATATTTTGCATTAGGTATGTAACTATTATTTTACATTAAACATCTGTTATTTTCTAATAAAAGCTTATGTACATCATTCAGTAGTAGAAGCAAACCCATAATAACCTGATAATGGAACAGAATATAATGGAATAATGGTTTTAAGTGCTCTCCTCTAGCAGACATTTGGTTGGCTGTGGTGAGGATTTGGCTTTATGTTCCAAGCTTCTGTGTTAGGTTGATTGTATACCTGGATTTCATTTTACTGTAGCTTTATTTTCGATAGGGTAAATGTATTTAGGTTTTATTTAACTTGAACAGATGCAGTTAAATTCAAATTTTTGTGACATTATCCAAAGATGGACTCTTTGTAGATTAAGGCCTTCTCAGTGTTGGGGTAACAGCATACAAAATAATGTATTACAATGATGTAATTACTTTTTTTCAGTAACAAAGATATGTAATGCATCATAGTTCAAATTATGGTAACCACATTTCAGTTACTGACCTAAAGCTCAACTATGTAAGATTTTTTTGTTAAAATTGAAAGACGTAGCATTACAGAGAGAGGATTAAAAAAAAGCTTGTCTATACAAATCACCCTATAACACCTGAAATAATAATTTAAAAATAAGAGTTGTCAGGTTGGATTTGGCTAAAGGACTGAAGTACAACTGACATTACAAAATGTTCTTCTGCACATTGTGTTCAGTTATATACTTCCACCAGACAGGTCTCCAAATCCCCAAGACTTACATAGTGCAGCTTTAAAAAGTATATATTTACTTTTTGTATGTCTCTAAGAAAGCTCTATTTAAAACAGGCATTTTGTCTATATTTTCCATGCCTGTACTATACACATTTGATGAGAATTGCAGAGCAAGCACCGTAAACTCAGTGTCTAATCATGCTAATATAAAACTCGTAGCTAAAAATCCCTGTTCAGAAGACAAAAGAGCCCCAACCTCACCTAAACAGAAATGATTCAGTTTTTGTGCAGAAGCTGCTCTGTAAGCTGTACTTTTTGTTCATAAAGATTTGATTTCGAAGCAACTGTTTCCAGTGGGCAAAACCTGATTTCCAATGGGCAGAACCAGTTCTGTGAGAAAAAAAAACATCATTCAAGGCCTTCTGGAAGTCCAGGATACATTGCTGACTGAGTATGAGGAGCAGTCTAAACCATGGGTTGTTAGACATGGAAAACAACAGTGGCAGATCTATTTCAGCGGCAACTCTATACCAGATCTATACCACTGTGAATTTGCTACACGGTAAAATATATGCTGACATGTCTGCCACAAGCCTCTAGTAAAACATGGAACATTCTTATAAGCTTTAAATGTCTGTGTTTATCCTAGAATGGCCAAAAATGTTCATGCAGCACATCAAACTACTACAGACCTAAAAGGTTGCTAGCACAAGTTAACATTATTGTAGAGATGTTTTTTTACCATATGTTCTGACCATGTTCTGACATTTATATCCCAAAAGCTATAATAAAGTCATGGTGCGCCATTGGTGTTATTGTTCAAGGAAGTAATTACTTTTCGAGTAAGTACCCCAACACTGGGCCTCAAACAAGCCTGTGAGTTACTTAGAATCACTAACTACCCTGTACATGTTCCTGCTGCTCTCTTCTATTGAGGATCAGAAGCTCAGAACACAACTTATCCATTTATTTATGTCAATTATGCGGAAACTGTAGGATTATTGTGAGGTCTTTGCAGATGTGGGCATGCAGTTAAAACCATGCAGTTGTAGGAGGGTATGCAGTCTAAGCTGGGCATATGTGGGACAAATGAGTAGAAGAAGCCGTGCGGGAAAGGGAAGGGTGAAACTCTGCGGCTAACGGCCATGAAACATCAATCCCACCCAGACCTCCGCTGACCATCTCTTAATGTGTGCTGAAGTGTGGCCTGACCTGTATCTGGTTTCTGGCGGTTACCAAAGCTGGTCCCGGTCAGAAGAGATCTGGCCCAAAGGTTACATGGGAAATGAAAGGAGGAAACAGTATTAGTTTAATATTTCATAGAGAATGAAAGAAATACCTTCTTTTGAGGTTTATATGTTTTATCACCGGATCGATATAAAACCACCACAAACAACAATGGCTGAAGAGATGCGCTCCATTTTAAGCCGCTTAAGACTCCTAGGATCAATAATTAGGCTCCAGACAGGTTTGGTGTGGCAGTTTAAATAATTGATAGAATGTGGATGGAGAAGAGCAGGAGTGAAGCCATACAGTCGTCATAACTAGGACAAGGGCATTGGCATCAGCTTACTATTAAAAGGTTCTAATTAAAGCAACCAGTATGTTAAGCCTATGGGCCTTGTGAAGGTGGCCTGCAAACTCTCTATTGTAATGGTATTTACAAAGCTACGTTTATTTTTTATGTTGTATTTTACTCTTATTTAACCTTTATTTATTTAGGTTAGCCTTGTTGCCAAGAAAGTAGCAGGGTATATAGCTTCAAATACACATACAAATCACATCAACAAAACAATCTGCTAAATTACAGAAATATATTATGAGTTCAAACATTTAAAATCATTTGGCTCAAGTTCAGGAGACATAACAATAACAGTCATTTGCACAGTATACGGAGAATCTAACTCGCAAGTATCTCTTTTCTGAGCAGATAACAATGACAACAGTCTACTCAGAATGACCTTATAGATACAGATATAGCAATAATTATATTGTTGAGTTGATAGAGCAGACTAATAAACTGCAATAGGCTACAATAGACAATGTCAAATGAAGGCTCTACAATAACCAATGATGGATAAGGCTCCATTAATTTACAACACATTACCATATTCAAGAAAAGGCAAAAACATAGCTTCAACAAGCTTCACACTTTTACTAACGTCTGAACAGAAGATCTCTAACAGATAAATGAAGTGGGATACATCCCCTGATTTGCTTAGCTCCATTAAAACTATGCTAAATTGCCCCAGGACTGAGTATGTGTGTAACTGTGTGTCTGCCCTGTGATGGACAGGCGACCTGTCTAGGGTGTTTCCTGCCTTCCACCCAAAGAGCACTAGGCTAGGCTCCAGCACCCCACATACACACACAACCCAGGAGGATAAGCAGCTTAGAAAATGTCTCTACAGAAATCTGTATTTGATTTTCAGCAACACCTTTTGATGATGTGGATCAATAGTCAGTGGTTTAATGTACCTTTGTGGTCTTGATTTTGTTCCCTGTGGCACAACTCCAGCCTTTAAGGTCAGGCAGAACCTTACACTCCTCTCCATCGAGGCACGGGTGCATGTGACACCACCACTTCTGCTCCACTATGGAGGCTGTCGGAGGACACACATACTATTTCAATCCAAATATGTCCAATAAACATGAACGTTAATGACATATGATGGTAGGTGAAAAACTACCCCTCATTTATTTAATTTCCAGTCAAAGTGGTCATTAAGTGCAAACATTTTTTAGTGCTGGAAAAAAACTGAAAATTACACAGAAGCTTAGCTTTCAGTTTTTCAAGAAAACCTGCAGGGATATTTTTCCACACCTCCAAAGCTCAGTCTTAGAAGTTTGTTGCATTTTCTGCTTCTCACAATTCAAGTAATCCCAAACACATTCAGTGATGTTGAGGTTTGAACTCTGAGGTGGCCAGTCTACCAGCAGCATTTCTTGTCCTTTTGTCTTGTCCATTTCTTTTTCTCAGTGGCAGCTTCTTGGCAGCTACACATCCATTCAGACCCATGGAGTTGTCTTGCATGGACAGAAACACTTGTGTACTTAATAGTACAACCTCATTTCCAAAAAAGTTGGGATGCTGTGCAAAATGTAAATGAAAACAGAATGCAATTATGTGCAAATCAGTTGAACCCTGTATTTAATTGAAAATAGAACAGAGAAACATAACAAATGTTGAAACTGAGAAGTTTCACTGTTTTTTGAAAAAGACATTCCCATTTTGAATTTGATACCAGCAATACGTTTTTAAAAAGTTGGGATGGGGGCATGTTTACTATTTGTTTTTAATCACCTCTTCCTTTAACAGCACTCTGTAAATGTTTGGGAACTGAGGAGACCAATTGCTGTGGTTCCAAAAGTTAAATGTTTTCCATTCTGGCTTGATGGAGGATTTCAGCTGCTCAACAGATCAGGGTGTCCTTTATCTTATTTTTCGATTCATAGTGCAGCAAATGTTGAAAGCAATTTGAAAATGCCTTTTTGGAGATATTGTTCCAACAGCAAAGTATGTTGCTCCAAAACTTGTATATATCATTCAACTTAATGGTGCTGCCACAGATGTGAAAGTCCTCCATGCCATGTGCACTAATGCACCCCCATACCAGCACAGATGTTGGCTTTTGAACTGTGTGCTGAAAACAAGCCGGATGGTCCCCCTACTCTTTAACCCGGATGACCCTACGTCCATGATTTCCAAAAAGAATTTCGAATTTTGATTCATTGGACCACAGCACACTTTTCCACTACAGTTCAGTGCATCTTAAATGGCCTCAGGCCTGAAGATTTCTTAATTTTGTTTATATATCGTTTCTTCTTTGCCTTTTAGAGTTTTAACTTGCATTTATGGATGCAGTGACGAACTGTGTTCACAGACAGTGGTTTTTGGAAGTGTTCCTGAGCCCATGCAGTGATTTCCACTACAGAATCATGTCTGTTTTTATTACAGTGCTGCCTGATGGCCCGAAGATCACGGCCAGCCAGTATTGGTTTTTGGCCTTGTCCCTTGCATACAGAAATTTCTCTGGATTCTCTGAATCTTTTCATGATATTATGTGTGTTCTTGAATTGTTGAATTGTTGCAATTTGTCTGCCAGAATTGTGAACATCCCCATCTTTACTTCTGAAAGACTATCTCTCTGGGATGTTTTTTTAATACCCAATCATGTTACTGAGCTGCTGCCAGTTAACCTAATTAGTTGTGAGATGTTCCACCAGATGTTTTTTAGCATTACACAGTTTACCAGTCTTTTGTTGCCGCTGGCCCAACTTTTTCAAAACATGTTGCTGGCATCAAATTCAAAATGGGCATGTATTTTTCAAATCACTATAAATTTTCTTTTGATTATTTTCAATTTAATATAGGGTCTAAATGATTTGCACATCACCACATTCTGTTTTTATTTATATTTTTTTGACAATGTCCCAACTTTTTTGGAAAGGGGGTTGTATTTTGACTGGAAATTAAATAATCTGATGCACGGTACTGTAGGTTGGACAGAGGAGCAAGTTAATCTGAGAGCCATTCAAACGTGGCTGCTGTTGAGGTAATTATTTTCATACCTATTTTCTTCTACCAGCAACATAGACCCTGCCACACTCACAAGGGGCCCTCATGTAGAAAGTATTGCATCTAGACTGCTGTATCTTTCAGCAATTCACATCAGAGAACTACAAGCCTGTATAAGAGGCCATTATCCCACAAAGGCCTGAGAAAAGGTGTAATATCTAAATATGTACTGGGGATAATGAAAAGGTTAAGTACTGATCGTTTTTTTCAAGATTACCTGCTGTGCGCTCCTGACTGAGCACATTAGCACTATGCTTTTAATTTGCAGAGAATGTCAGAGCCAAAATGTCAGCGAATAGGTCAGACGGCACTGAGGGGCTAAGGCCCATCTCAGTGTTCTCCGATAGCTTTATTACAGCTCGTGTCGTGGGGCACTGATGAGTCAAAGCAGTTCAAAGCAGTATGGCAGCAACTTCATCTGGCCTTCTAACAGTATCAGACCTTTCAGAGCGGATTAAGGCGAGATGTGGGGCAAATGCAATTTAAAAAATTGATATTAGGTCTTTGTCATGAGCTATTTACGATGCTGTTGTTCTGCTACACTGATTGATTTAAGGATTAGAGATGAGCGAAACCTCATGCCATCTATTATCTACATTCTTAAAGTCTAAAGTGATTACTATTTTGAAGTTCTTCAGCTTAGTGCCACGTATAACCCTTTCAAAGGGATTCAGTAATAACCGTTATAGAAACAAACAAAAAAAAATTTTAAAATGTGCACTACATGGCCAAAAGAAGCACATAAGCATATACTTGTCTAAAATGACATTGTATGCTGTGGCTCTTTACCCATCACTGGAACTAACAGACTGAGCACAAGCCAATGAAAAACAGTCCCAGACTATTATTCATCTTCCTTTAAACTTTACTGTCGGCACTGTGCTTTCCAGTGGGTAGCATTCTCCTGGCATCCGCCAAACCCAGATTCGTCCGCTGGACTGCCAGATAGCAAAGCATGATTCTTCACCCCAGGGAACACATCTTCACTGCTCTGGTGTCCAGTGGCAGAGCGCTTTATACCACTTGACACCACTATATAGTGATTTTAGGCTTAGCCATTCATGCTTGGCCATGGAAACTCATTTCCTGTAGCTCCTGACGCCCAGTTCTTGTGCTGATGTTCCTTCCAAAGGCAGTTTGGAACTCTGTAGGGATTGATGTAATTTTCATGCACTATGCACTTCAGCACTTGGTGGCCCAGCTATGTGAGTTTGTGTAGTCTACTGCTTCATGGCCCAGCTCTTGTTTCTCCTAGATGCTTCCATTTCCAAATAGTAGCACTTACAGTTGACTGGGGCAGATCTAACAGGGCAGAAATTTCATGAAATGACTTGTGGCAGAGGAGGTATCCTATAACAGTGCCACAATCAAAGTCACTAAGCTCTTTAGTAAGACTCATTCCACTGCCAGTGTTTGCACTCAATAATTAGGAGAGGTGTCCACATATTTTTGGCCATGTAGTGTAACATGTTTAAGCAAAGTCCATGCAAATCTAGGTACTTACATCTAGAATCCTTGAACAAACCTCTTTCTTTTAAGGGCACACAAAGCTTGTCATACATATAGGCAAGTGAAATGAAGCATGCTTTGCCTGCTGATAAAATTTACAGAGTAGAATGTTTTATGCAGGTGCAGAAAGTCATATTTCTTTACATAATCAAAAGGAAAATAAAACAAAAAGTATGCTATTCAGTCCAGGCTCTGGCTCAGAGATCCAGAGGAGAGAAGAAAGACAACAATGCAGACAATGTTCACACATACTTAATAACCAAAATATCCTAGGAGTGATGAATAGACTTTTTAGCATCTTCTCTCCTTCCCCTAGTGAACATGTATGTATGTGTAATTTCACACTTATTTCATGCTAGCACCTTAAGCTCTTACTGAAAATGAGAAATTTGCTGCTAAACAAAATGATGTGATTTATTAGCCTTACCCAGCAGTAACTTCACAATTAAATCATATGGGATTCTGATGTCTCTATAATGCGAAGCGAAGCATTACTTTGGGCTTCAAAAAAAAAAGAGAAATTTCTCTTTAAAAACAGGAATGTTAGAACTGTTCTTTAAGACATAATACTATGAATGTTTTAATAATGATTTCCCTATATGAATAAGAATTCCCTGGTATTTCATACATACACATCTAAGAAACCACTTCTAACTTTTGATTTCATCATTGATTGAAAGGTTAGGGATATTTTTACAGCACATTGTCTTTACTCTGAAAATTCGATATCAAATTCAATATAATTTTGTGGCATATTATTTTCAAAGAGCAAATCTAAAAATACGCTTATACAGACATTTGTACTGACCTACAGTACTGTGCTAGAGTCAGAGACCACCCTATTTAATTTCCAGCTCTAAAACTGCCAATAAGCACAAGTAATTCATTTTTTTAGGAGGTATTTCTGAGAAGATTAGATATAAGATAATCCACTTGCATAAAGAAGGGAGAAACAAAGGAAACTAAAGGAAATTACAGGAGTTTCAAAGATATCTTCATAAGATACAGAGGACATATGATTCCTAACAACTGTGCAAGACCTGGTAGACCATCAAAAATGTCATCATCAGACAAAAAGTGCTTAAAGCTTTCAAACAAAGAAGCTGCTTGTGTTCTCAGAACAATGAACTGGTCACTTCAGAGTCCAGACCTCAACATCTCACTTAATGTGTTTGGGATTAGTTGGATTGTAGGAAGCAGAAAATGGAACCAACTTTCTGCAGATTTCTTAAAAAAATTGAAAGCAAGTCTCCCAAAAAGAATGGAAGCTGTAATAAAGGCAAAGAGACTCACTAATACTGACAAACTGACTTTTTTCCTTGTGCTGAAAAATGAAGAACTTGTACTTTATGACTATTTTGACTAGAAATTAAATGACTGAAGGGTGGACTCTGACTTTTGCAGACTGTTGTATGTACTTGTGTATATCATTTATACATGAAAATAATGACATCAGTTCTGTCTTTCAGTTGACTTAACTTTGGCAGTAATTGTGTTGGAGTGGTGCATTTTATTTTACTTCTGGAACATACCATCTACACAGGAGGGTGCTGCTCGGGTGGTTCCAGCCACTTGTCCCGGAAAGCAGGAGCATTTGACTGTCTGAGAGCGTTCCTCGATCTTGTTCTTATTGCAGCATCGGTGTAATGCTACAACTTCACAGGTTCCCGTTCTGACATGGTGAACTGCTAAATGAGAAGATAGGTCAAACATCATACATGGTCAGAAAAAAAGGGCACTTCTCTTGTAAATTTTAGTCCCCCAAGGCACAAACAATGTAAATATACTCTCAAAGGTACAATATGGTCCTTAAGGTCCAATTGCATATCTTGAATGAATTGTAAAGATTCACTGCATTCACAGAGGAAATGTGCATATTTACCTTCTTGTATCTTGAAAACTTTTTAATCAGAAAAATAAAATAAAAAAAGCTTGGAGTCAAGGCAGGGTGTATGGAGTCAATACAACTTAAAAATATATCTGTAACAGAATATGGTACAATTATATTCCCTAACGAAAGGTGCTGAAGCTGTGCCCTTGAGGGTACCACCTCAGTAACCACCCCTAATAATGCTACATTTTTTCTGACCATGTTATGGAAGAAACTTCTTTAGTTGCTGAATGCTTTTTCTTTGCCCTAAAGGCAGACTGACAATAACATTTCACTCAAAACTTGGCTGCTTTCATATACCTTATCCTTACATCTTTACCTCAATGTGAACTCAAAACATTACAGATCTACCCAACAACTTTTGCTGCAAATAAAATATCAATAATGCAGTTATTTATCTTTTATTAAATTCCACTGTCAGGTTGCTTTTAACCCCTGACATGGCCAGGAACTCCTGGTGGGTCCAGACTTTTATCACTCTCTCACACAAAAATATTTCAGACAGTTTGCATTGTTTTCAACTAGCTACTCTTAGGTCATAGAAATATGTAATAAATCCTTTGGCCCACTGGTGGCCCCTGGTCATTTAAGGGGTTGAAGAATAATAAACCTTAAAATGTAATAAGGGTGGAAATGTAAGGGCTTAATGTACTTCAGATCTTAAATGTACTTCATGTATGAAGCACTGGCATAGGCAGAAATGCATTTCTGAGTAGGCCAGTGAAAGAGTAAGTAGGCCAACTTGATTAGATTTTGTTAGATTTTTTTCAAACACGCTAATGTCCCCATGCTAGTGTCATAACATGAGATTATAGTCTGTAGCTGACTGTTATTTATGTACACATAAATAAAAACTCAGGACTTAAAAACCTAAAAGCGAAACCTAATAATGCTAGGCTAAAGCATAATGTCACAGAGAGCATGAAAAATGTTTATAGACCATTTATGACTTACTTTTGATGATGCAATGCATCACATTTTAGCATAGTCCATGTTCAGAGCATTGTAAACACCACTGGCTTTGGAAATCGGTAGAAAATGACATGCTCTATTCTACCAAGGACATGATCCCACTTTTATAGATCTCTCTGGTACATCTTTTGACCAAAGCTGAAGCTTTAAATTCAAGCACTGACACACTGATGAACAACTGAAAGCTTGAGGCGATGGGGGATAGTAACGGTTGCTAAGCAGTGATTGTAGAGCTGAGAAAAGCTTGGGATTGGTCAATTTGACTATACCTCGCACATTAATGGATGACGCAGAGAGTGTAATGATTTTGATTATCCATTATACAATGACAACTCTCACAGAAAACAAAGTTCATTATCTTAAAAATGTAGCTTAATAAATATTATTTCCCCTTATGATTTGGCCTATCCTTGAATATGCATGAGTGTGAAGTCATCTTTTATCTTTTAGTATGGAAGTATATGGAAGGTCCAGAGAATCTCCAGAAAACAGCGTGCCCCAGTGTCTAGCCCAGTCTCTGGCATTATGTTCACTTCTCTACTCTGTAAAAGTGCAGTGCTTAGTATTTTTAGCTGGTTCCCTGCTCCCCCAGCATTGTCTGAATTATTTAAAGACAGCATGGCTCTGTGCACTTTTAATTGCTTGTGACATTTCCATGAGGTGTCTTCCTCCTGTGCTTGCAGTTTTCTTTCTTCTCTTTTTCTTTTTTTTTTGAACTAATGTGGTAAACAACTAATTAAGAGAGTTTGGATACCTGCCCTCACACTGTTCCATACCAGTGCAGACAAGCTTATCTAATTATACTGCATTTGTGTGACTAATAATAACGTAATGTGGGTGGATTCTTTTTGTACTGAACTATGCTGAAATTAGAGGACTTCTCGTCAAAGGCGTTTGCATGTAATCCTGTTCATAACTGTTGTCATATGATTTTGATACAAGTCATTTGAGAACAATTTCCAAATTAACATCCGGGATTTATTATTAGAATTAAATGCAATTAATCATTTAAATGTTAACATTTAAGGATGGACAACAAATGATCCTAATCTACTGCAGATTTATAAGTGCTGGTGCAACATCATGCACATTTCTCTTCACTGTAAATCCAATTTTGAAATTCATTAACTGGATTGAGTGAAGAAAACCTACAATGTATTGAACAGTTATGTTAAAGTAAACACAGTGATCAATTGTGTTCAAGAGCTTTTTTTTTCTTTTTGAGTTCATGAAACTGGTGACTTTTAATTTTAATCAAGTCCTATTTGGAGTTTTAAGTGAAAAGAACTCTTCATGATAGATTTACTGACACTTGATTGATATGAGTTTTACTTCTGACATCATATTCAGGGACAGCTTGTTGGAAAGTGATTGATTTTATAACTTTTATATGCTCATTCTGTCTATCAGAGTAGTTGTATTGTCTCTAAGGGCCTGATTCTCTTAGATCATCTTAGAATCTTCTGTATATTTTTATGCCCCTGTATCATATATATGTAACCTTGATGCTTAGTGGGTAAACAGTTTGAGCCAGCTGAGGGTGAAAACGCTCTCTATAATCTGTGTAAACTCCTGCTGTGTGGCAAGAGAAGGAGGAAAATGATAACCTGTTATCATCTCTGTATGAAGACATCTTTTAATAAATCCAACTTTCTCCCCACAAGTGATTGGCTCCATCTAGTTTATTCTCAAAAGCTTTAATACTTTTGGAACTTCAACAACTATAAGCCAGCAATTGGCGAGCTGCCAGCCAGGAGATTTTAGATCATAATCAAATACATCTTCTGAAGAAGACAAGTTTGAGCCACAAGCTGTGCTGACCTCAACACCTGCTGTGCTGCATGAGACGAAAGGTCCGAATATACATTTGTCTAAACCATGCAGTGGTAAGTTGAGTGGTGCTATCCTCGCTGAAGGAAACAAATCACTTTTTGGCACCCCTAAGCAGATTTTTTTGTGGACCCCCATGTTGCTAGCCAGTATACTATAAAAAATAAGGCTAACTAACAATACCACAAGCTGTTTAAATAAATTGCTTGGGGTTCTAATAAGTTACAAATAACCTTCTCGGCATTTTTGATACAGGCCTCTGTCTCACGACACAGTATTTCTTGCTTATCCAGCTAACTTGTGCTTAATTCAATTTAAGCCAGGTATCAGTGCCAAAGCATTGCTTTTTTTAGTACTATGTAGTAGTAGGCAGTATGATTTCTTTTTCCTCCTTATGTTTCAAGCAATTGACTGTTCATCATAAATGTCATGCTTTCATGTGCATGTGCACAAGAACTAATGAGAAGCATTAAACCTGGATTAACAGAAAAAAGGTAAATAAAACATACCTTTAAGCTTTCTCCACATTTCTTCTATTTTTCTTTTTCGTTTTTGGCTCCTGACGCGTACATTCTCTTTTGAGACATGAATAACCACGTCCTTTTTTTCTGTCCGCTCAAGCATCTTAGCTAATGGTAGAGTAGTAAACCAGAGTTTGTTAGGGGCCCTGCATTCTTTGCAGTTTGTTGGCTTCTGTTAAGTAGCTTATATTTTTCATTAGACATCTTCAAATAAAGTTAGTTTTGGGTTATAGCATGTTGTCTTCATACTAAAGGTTAGGTTTTGATGCATTTTACTGGCATTTATTATATAAACCATGATGTTTTTTTGTGCTGGGGTGTACAACTCCAGCCTGTATTACTAATTCAAAAGTAAGCAATTAGTTGAGGCCTCTGATCAGCTTCTGATTAGGTCATGAAACCAATGTGACCACCCGAAATTGGTGATTCTAATAATTTTGAAGCAAACTGTTTGTTACTTGAGAATTACTCAGTTAAAATTTGTATATGTAACTAAGCCTAAATCTGTAAGTTCTACAAACCACAGGCTTTTGATTTTCTAAACAACTGATTGCCTTAATTATTTTGAGTTCTATTAACTTCTGTGGGTTTACAGTGCAGGTTTGTATGGCTCTAGATGGATGGTAGGATAAACCAGAGAAAATCAAATTTGTCTTGCCACGTTTTGTCAACTTTCTGAACTGTATTGTGTTCAGAGGGAGGCAGACAAATAACACATAGCATAGTGTTATTTCAGGTCACGTTTTCGTTGCTGTGAAGATAAGGTCACATCTCCCCCAGAGGCCCAAAGTGTTCACAGGTACGACTGAACAAACAAATAAGCTCACAGCCCCTCCACTTCTATTCCCAGCAACATTCCTAGAGGTATTTGGAGAGAGATAGAGGGGACATTTGGAGAGAGAACAACACAGTGTGTTATTGGTGATGTGCCTGCCAGAATGCAGCCCCTCTCCTCCCCCGCCCAGCACATTCAAATGTGTTAAGCCTGAATGGAGCAGGACTGAGATATTACACACGCTCTTATGAGAAAACAAAGAATTGCACAGAAACACGCACTTATAAATATATAGGAAGCCAAATAAAAACCGCTTGTGTTATATGCTCAGGAGAAAATTGATTTGTCTGACTATATGTTACTGCGCAAAAGACGTCTAGCATCTAAGCAGATTGTTTAAAATCATTTATTTAGGCAGTAAGTGTGTTTCCGTATAGATCATTCTACCGAACTGGTTTGGCGAAATGGAATGTTCAATAATTTGTTTTAATAAAATAAGCATAATTAAGGTATAGTTGACCCTGTTCCTTAATTATGCTTATTTTATTAAAACAAATTATTGAATATTCAATTTCATCCCCACCAAAACAATTATAACACTACTTGAGCAAATGCCACAATAGTGACTGTTTCGATAGTGGCAATTTTAGCTCATTCTAAGCAGTTCTCAAAAATGTTAGCCAGTACGTGACTAGCATT